AAAGCTGTCTGGTGTGTGGGGTCACCAGGGCCAGGAGTAGGAATCCCTGCCTTTGAGACCTCCAGTATTAGCTGGTTTCAGGTTCTCGGTCTGTGCAGAATGCAGGGGGTTTGCGAGTTCGAATCCCGGGGCAGACACTGCTGTTTTGTCCCTGAACAAGGAACCTCACCTGGATTTTTCCAGTAACAAAAAATGGAACCGCAGAGTTGTGTGGAATAAAAAAAAATTAGTCAACCAAAATAGTTCTCAATTGTATAATTAGAAATCAAATGCTATTGCTCCACAAGGCACAGTTCCTGGTCACAGATGTTTTAATGTGCCATGTAACCTAAATATCTATAGGTTCAGTATGGCCTTGGCTCTCTGGAGAAAAACAGCTTCTGATTGTGCCCCTCTCTCTGTGTCCAGGTTTGGCCGGGAGACCAGAGGAGGCCTCGGCTTCGAGGGCAGGATACAGTCCCGGGACTGGGAGACCATGCCGCCACAGTTCTGGAGCATGGCGGTGCCGCAGAGATTCGGCAAGAAGAAGTGATGGTACAGCAGTCAGTCAGCAGGACCCCAGGAAGAGACCCCGCCCCACTCCCGCCCACCTTCTCCTGGCCCCACCCCCTACTCCTCCCCCAACACTCGCTGTAACCAATTAGCCTCCTTTGACTGCACCTGATAGCCCCTCCCCCTGTTACCTGATTGGACTGCCACGGGAGGAGGGAGGCCTCCAGAGAGACTGTAAGGGGTAACATAATGTGCAATGGACTTCTCACATTTCAGTCCCCACTCTCACCTCCACCATAGGATTCTCCAATAAAAAGCTTTAAAAACAGAATTGTGTTGTCCACATCTCTGCAATATAAATACAGACTCTAGTAAATGTGGGGTTTTCCAATTTAGCACTCAAACCCATCTCACTATGGCACATTCACAGTCTCACATTTTTTAAGAGACGTGTTTATTAGGTGTACATTAGTGTGCATTTACACAGTACATCTCATCCTTAAGGATCCTACTGTACTCTTCCCTGTCCAAAGCCCCCTTTATTCATAATTGATGGATTTGCAGGTTGTGCATTTAAACAGTACATCACATCCTTAAGGATCCAAAAGCACTTATATAAGAGAGAACCCACTTAATTAACTACGGACATGTAGCCTGGCCTGTCTAGGCACAGCAGATCAGAGGGAGGAGAGAGGAACAGCTGCTCCAGGCCGATTAATTGGGAAGTCATTGAAGGCCAGACGGCACAATTTCAGAGTGTGTAGTGAGGACAATGTGGTTCATTTCCCTAGTCTTGAAAACAGTGCCAGGGGATCTTTAATGACCAATTAGTTAAAACGTTATTCAGTAAGATCCTTCCAAAACCACATCTAAAACACACAAACCACATTTAGGGCTACTGTACATACTTTGAGTTTTTAAAATATACTGTTTCACCAAGTCTCCATTTTGCCCTTAGAAGGGAATTCGTAATTCCAGAATTGCACGTGTGGTTTTGGTTATGCCTAATTAACAGCTATTGATTTGTTGTTGTTTTTTATTTAAAAACGATTTAGATAATGAAGCCAATCGTCTTGTGAACGAGACTCGCAGTTAAGAAAAAAAAAACTCTTTCCACGCCTGGCTAATGGATTAAGCTGTCATGATTTCACTTGTCCGCTGCTCCCGGTGGGAAGCGATGTAGTTATTGTAGGAGCTCGGCTCTCGCAGCGTTATCGGTTAGTGATGCGGAGTGGGAGGAGGTGAACGCGGGGATAAAGAGGGCACAATTAATAGAGACTCCGGGCTCCTGGGAGTCCGCGGAAAACTGAGCCGCGCACACAATATCTCTGGCCCTCTTCCCGAGGCAGTAAACCTACCGTATGTCATTTCAATTGATAGAGTCATTTAATGAGCTCGCCTCTTTAACACGTTCTACAATATAAAAAAAAAAAAGACCGGACAGACACCATCGCAGTGCCTGGGACTCTTGGTGATTCCATTCCGGGTGCTGGCCGACCCGCGACTTTCCCGGGGTGGGGACGCCTGGATGGGCAGGCGTCGGTGCGAGAAATAAATTGATGAATTATCGCAGTGAGTACAAAAGGGAACTGACCCGCCTGTTGCAACCAGAAAACAGGAATAGCACACAAGGGTTGGACATGACCATCATCAGGCTTGTTTGGTTGCTAGGAGCTAATTGATCCGAGGACTTCATCCATCCGCTTCTTGAAAGAAGCCAGGATATCGGCTTTGACAACATGGCGGGGTAGATTGTTCCTGTCTTCTGTAACCCTTCTCCTGTGACCTTTCTCACAGCTCGATGCTTAGCATGCATTGACGGTGTCCTTTTCTCTATCGCACGCATTCCCAGCTAATGATGAGACCTCTTGCTAGAGCACTAAAACATTAAAAGAATCTAAATGGAGGTATTAACTTATTTCACAGAAAAATAAACGCCGCTTTTGCCTGTACGTGTAGATTTCTTCCAGTTACAGACAACTGTAACAGTAGCTCTTTCACTGGGGGAACCAGGGGTTTGAGGGGACTGATCTGATGCTGTGTTCTGGCCGAGTGTGGAGTGTACTACATTTAGTCCCTTTTTGACCAAACAAACAGAAAGACGAAGGCAGGTTTCTGTGAAAAGGTGATCCCACCTGGCTGGATATTCACAGGTAGTGTCTGTGGAAGAGGGCCATGTTTCTAAATTAAAAAAATAAACCCTGCTTTACCGTGAAGAGAGTTTACAGCACCATTCTCTTGCTTAAGACGCAACATGCTGAAAGCCTGTGATTGTTGTCTTTAAAGCGTATCGGTTCATTCCAAACTTTCCTGGGAGCGTACGAAAGGCGACAGAGGAGAGAAGGTGGCCTGGCAGCTGGTAGCTCGGTGACCCCGGCGGTCTGTGATGTTCTGTGCTCAGAGCCGTGGATGACGAGACACCAGCAGCAGTGTGACGGCACACGGGGGGGGGTCTCAACCTCCATCCGGAAGTTGGCAAATTGTACAATGAACTGTAGTTAAACTGCCCTTGACATCCAGGAGAAAACAGGGAGCTGGTCGGAGAAGAAAATGGGAGAGCTCTGGAGTGGGTTTGGTGAGGGAGTTTTTCCTGCTGCTATTGGTTGCCATGGAGACAGCTGATGCACCGCTCCTCGCCCGGGTGGTGGTGGTGGGGGGGGGCAGCGAGGGGTGACTCAGAGAGGAGCAAGAGGAAATGTAGTCGCTCATTTTATTTATTGCTGCTGCCACTCTAGAGGTTGAGGCCCACTCAGACTTTAATTACCCCTGCTATCGATCACCTGGGTCCACCTGGGCTGCTCTCAGGGGGCACCTGACACAATCTAACCCTCGTTCTAAGGAGGGGTTTAATTGGATTTTGGAGAACGTCTGTTGTGGAAAAGGGTGCTGTTACCCCCCCATTCTCCTCTCAAGTGAGGGATCTTGACACAAGACCCCCTTTCCTCTCAGGCTCTGAGGTCTGATTGGAATTTGAAGGTTTTCCCAAACTTAGCCTGCTATGTGGGATTGTCAGAATGACCCTGTTTTTTAATATATATACCACTAACAAAGCAGACTCATTCCAGAGGCCTGGGGGGGGTTGAGGCGATTGTGGGGAGAGATGAATGTGGGAGGGGGTGGTCTCACTGTGTAGAAGAAGACCAGGTTTCAGAACATGTCTTCACAAGACAGTACAGGGAAAAAGTGTGTACAATCAAGTGTGTTTTTCCGTCTTCTCTCTAGTTACTACTGGGGTCTTCTTTTTACCCCTGGCCCAAAACCAGCCAGCCATACTCCACAGGGCAGGACTTTAAAAGGCTCTTTACTCCTGAACACCTCATTGAGCAGTGCAACAGCAGGGGGAAATGTGCTGTCCCATGAGGAGCTGAGGTACTGGCAGTGTCACAGGTAAAGTGGCCTGTGGGGTGTGGGGAGTGCCTTGTGGGACAGGGAGTGGCCTATGGAGTTTGGGGAGTGGCTTGTGGGACAGGGAGTGGCCTATGGAGTTTGGGGAGTGGCTTGTGGGACAGGGAGTGACATATGGAGTTTGGGGAGTGGCTTGTGGGACAGGGAGTGGCCTATGGAGTTTGGGGAGTGGCTTATGGGGTATGGGAGTGCCTTGTGGGACATGGAGTGACCAATGGGGTGGGTGGGAGTGGCTTATGGGGCAGGAGAGTGGCATGTGGGGTGGGTCGAGAGAAAGTATTTCGGTCCTAATTGCACTTCTCCACATGTGATTAGAGGTGATTGGAAGGGGGAAGCAGGTGTGTGATGAACCTATTAGGAATCGTTATCCCTATGCCCTGATTGGCCATAGTATTGCTAGTAATCATCTTTTTTGGATCTCTGCTGGGTGTTTAATGCACAGTGTGTTCTGACTTTTATTTTCAGTTCATTCCTACTCAATGTGTAGTGACTCATGTCGTGGTCGTGAGTTGTCATTTGCTTTTGTACTTTGTTGGTTTTGCAAAATAGTCTCTCATGGTGTTGTTTTCAGTGACTTTAAGGCACAAAAAGGTTTCTGTTGGGCGAACCTAAATACAAGCCTTGGCTGATTCCCGTACCCTGGTTTCTTTCAGGAAACAGCGGGATGAGATCCTGGGATCTGTTATCTGCCTGAATTTCAGTGAGCCAAGTGACCTCCTCTCTTTCGCTCTTGAATTTCTCGGCTTGCTCGGAAGGTCAGGCTGGAGCCGTGCTCTTGTTCAGGAGCCTGACTCCGCTGTGCGCTTCGGTGCGTGTCTTGTTGAAGCCGGATGGCTTGTAAGTGCCCTGTCGCTTGTGTGTGAGTGGGATTGGGCGCTTTCAGTGGGCTAATATTTTGTGGGGTTTCGGTGGCTCAAAAAGAGCAGAGCGATCTATGAAAGAATCACAGAACGGTTTGTATCGTTCCGCCTCTGCAGAATTGCGCAGAGCTCATTTGTTTCCTGGCAGCCCGTCTTGAAAACGTCCTTTAAGGAAACAAAATTTGGTAACAAGCAGTGTTCTTGACACTGAAGTCAATTAAATAAGAGAATTGGCAGAATTTCAGCATTTAGAAGCTTTTCTGTCTTCGTGTTTATTAGGCATTCTGTCTGGGGTTTAATTTGAGTTTGTATGCAGAAATCCATGTAAAAAAGACAATTCCTCATAAGTTTATGAAAGTAAAACAAACCAAGTTCTGCGTGTGCTTTTACAGGAGTGTGTAAGTGCAAGCTGCTGCTGAAAGAGTAGGGGATCGCCTAGCTCCTCTGCACACGGACTGGCAGGAATCCCCCCCTCCCCCGATCAGCACAGCTGGAGTTGAAGTGCTGTGCAGCTCATGTGAATTTCATGAGCCGCTGGGAATGACAGGGAGAGGGATGTCTGCATTTTAACTGTAGCCACTGCAGAGACTGGAGCGGCCCGGCGTGAATCCGAAAGCAGTTTTTCTCTCGCTGGCTTCAGCTTCCAATTCTCCGTCTTGCAACACGAGCGATTGGCAAAGCCGGGCACTTGTCCTGAACCTCCTCTGGCAGGAGGTATGTGTCGGTGCACTGTGACAACAGCAGATGCCAGCTGTACCCTGTTTTCCCATGGTCACGCTGAGCTACAGATGTAATCGCCCCCGGGAGGAAAGTTTGATGATGAATTGGAGCAGTGGGGTGACAAATAATCATCTGACAGCAAGGGTCCTGCTCAGCTCTGATCAGAACAGATCATCCCATCCTTCTCCTCTTCTGGACCTCGACTTTCATCAGGGGCCCAAGACACAACACAGCAGCCCCCTGGGAGTGGGAATAATCATGAGTCACAAATGAGGCTTTGGGATTTTTCCATTTTTGATGCCGATTCTTGCAACGGAATATCAGTGTTTTCTGTTGCACCAAAGCAGGTGATGACATAACAGGCCTCGGAACACAGCATTTTATCAAACGATATAGTTCTTCCCATGATTGGCTGCTGTCTTAGTTTGGAAACCTCGTGCAACAAGAGCCCGCCCAGAAACATTGGTCAAGTCAAGCCTGTAGAATGTCTAAATAAAATGTATTATATTATTAATGTATTATAATAAAATAAGAGAAGAAGAGAACGCTCTTCATCATTCATCAGACCATGTAGTAAGAGAACAGCTTTTGAACAGAGAGAGGATTGTGCCATTTGTTTTTTTTATGTTTCTGTCATTTTCAATAATGAGCCAGAGCAGACAATGGGTACGAGGCAGGATACACCTGTGCTGGATGCCAGCCCTTCACAGGGCCAGTTCTTGTATAGTGTGGTCAAATTCACAGTCATCATTGTGCCTAAAAGTAACAAGCGAGAAAAAAAAACTGTTTAGATTGTTAGTGTAACTTGGAGGCTGTGCTACAATCAAAAAGATGTGCTTATTATGCAATTATACAGCGTCCCTGTCTACTGTGTAAGAAGCAGGGTAAATTAGTGTAATTAGGAGAAATTAATTACTGCAATTACTGAGCAGGTTGTTCAACTTGCAGTGATCACCCTAGCAAATTCAGAAAAGTGCATAGACATACCTTCTGCAATATTTTTGGAAAAAAAAACACAAGAATAGCTGCAATTATGCAATCAATGTACTGTAGGTCGTGGAAATGCTCACTTGACACCCCAGGTAGGGTTAGGGTTAGCATTCACACACTATTTAGACAATTTTTAAGCTCAGCGCTGGATTTTGGGGCCCAAGTGAGGTTTAGGATGGGTGGTTTTGTAGTCCTATCTGAAATTTTGTTTTTCAGAAACTGTCTGGATCCTGGGTGGCATGGTGCACCGTGTGGTAGGTATATCCCAAAACTGAGTCGGTTGGATCAAAAGTTGTCACCAAGCATTATTGAATCTTATTTAATTTCAAGAGCTTTGATCAACAGTCTTGATTGTTTCCCACTCATACCTTTATGTTTGGGGAACATTTCAAAATCCAATGCCCAGAGGCTTAGATATACAGCAGATACAGAATTAATTTTCGGATTTATTTAAGTCAGCGATTTCTGTTACTTATTGGAGGGATGGAGGGTGTACAGTATCTCTCCCTGTACTCTGTACCTCTGTGTTCTGTCTTCTCGCTGTACTGTACAGGAGGGGTCATAGGCATAAGTGCAGTCTTAGACATTTAGTGATTCCTAACAGGATGGTTTTTAATAATAAATTAATCTCTGGACTGCAGCAGGGAGAGATGACCGTTTATCCAATTCAGGGTCACGGCGGCCCAGAGCCTATCCTGGGCACACACTGGATGAGACGCCAATCTATCACAGGGCACACATAGACACGTACACGCACACGCACACAACACACCAGGGCCAATTTTCCAGATGCCAATTGACCTACCTGTAAACTGGAGCACCCGAAGGAAACCAATGTGAACATGCAAGCTCCACACAGACAGCAGCCCAGGAATTGAGGCCAGGGCACCAGTAACTGCAAGGCACCAATTCTAAACATGGTGCTACCATGTCACTGCAGTGTACAGTATATTGTCTTTCTCTTCGTGTGCCATGGTGTTACAGCACTATTCTCTCCCTGCTTCTGTCCTGCAGGCCACAACATCTCCTGGGAATTCTTGTCAATGTGGGTTCCAAACATGTGTTAGGACACCTGTTTCTTGACATTCATTCTAGTCTCTGTTTACTCTTGATATGTAATACTGTTTTAAAAACATCAATGCCCACAGCGTTCAAAGCCTGCAGTGGATTAGCTGTGCGATGTTAGATTTCCGGGATGTCCTTAACATGTTCCTGGCGATGGGGTATGTCATGGAGGGAGTCGTCCTCAGAGATCAGCTTCTTGCAGCTGTAGCCCCTGATTGCTGTCAGCACCTCAGCTGTGCCAAGGCAGAGCAGATAAAGCCTGTGATTAAGTCTGCTTCTCTTCTTTTCACCCTGAGCAGGGCGGGGTATTTTCTCAATAAAAGGGAGAAAAGGGATGGGTGGGGGGGGGCATCACGATTTTACTTTCACGAGCCCCTCTGTTAGAGTCCGACTCCGTTCCAATGAGGAGACAAAAAGAAACTGTTAAAAACGAATGCCTTTCTCTGGGCAGAGAAGCTGATCTTATCTGTGCCAAATAAAGCTCACACTTTCACTGGTGAAGAAGAGGGAAAAATAACTCTGCCCTGTGAGCTGCAGCCACTTGGCAAGCAGTTGACAAATGAAATCAAAGCCTCCCTGTATAGGTAGGTGATTCGGTCATCTTGAGGACGTTCTTTGCAGCTGGTGGTACGAACCTCAAGCTACTGTTGGCTCCAGGGAGCTTGAGTTCATGTTGGCTTCATGCTCAACCTTGATCTTGGCTGCAGCCAAGAAAAACATCTCAATTCCAGTCAGTTTGGCTCCCCCATCAACCAACTCTCTTTTGATTTTTTATTTCTGAAATGACCACTCTTAAGCCTTTGTGGCATAGGTGACATAGCCTGGCTGTCACTATGGCGATGACCTGTGGATAATTTTAAAAATGATCACAAACTTCCTAATTCATTTCCCCCTTTTCCCAGAAATCGTTCTGTAGTTTGCATATTAATGTACCACAAGAAATATATTTCCCACACTCATTTGCACTGCCTCTCATTTAAGTCTCATTAATGAAATCAGTTAAGGAAATGCGTTTCAATTATATTTCATATGTGTACGCCCCACCTCAGGGATAGCCCTGGCCTGAGCTGGATGGACTCTCTTTCATGGAGAAGTGTATCAACAAGCTAAAGAGGAGAGAATGTTTAGAAAGTCCCGTGAGGGAGACAGACTACCAATGTTAGTGGTGTAAGTACAACTGAATTATAGCAAGTGTATTAGAATAACTGTCTATAAGACAGTTTAACATGTTTAGCATCATATTGCAGTTTAAATGTAGGGCCATGCGTAGATAATGATAATAATGTTTCTGTATTAGCCCTATACAATTTCTTGCATTAGGAATTCATCTTTTCCCCATGGAGACACAGACAGGGAGAGAAGCTTGGGGTCAGAGCGCAGGGTCAGCCATTGTATGGCACCCCTGGAGAAGCTGGGGTTAAGTCCTTGCCCAGGGGCCCAACAGAGTAGGATTCCTCTGCCGGCTGCAGGGTTTGAACCGGCAACCTTCCTGAGCCACAGAGCCACCACTCCACCCCTTCATCTGGGCCGCCCCACACCTCAGCACCGCTTCTACAGTAGCTCTGCCTCTGTCCCTCACCAGGACTTGTGTTTTATCACCTGGAAAGCAAAGTGCATCAAGATGTCAAGGAGCTTTGTAGCGGACATTTTCAAAGGTTCATAGTGCAGGGCTACCCTTCCCAAAATTGGGAACCCACTGCCACTTTTTACATAATTAGAATTTGTCGGCAGGCTTTTTCTAATGGTAGTAAATCAGTGATGATGGTTATCAAGTGTCTGTAATGAGCTAAAAGCTGCCTGGATCCAGCAGGCTAATTTGGCGTCGAGAGCTGGGGAGCCGGTGGCCTGTTTTAACTGCTGCGTTCAGGGGTGCTCTCTGCCGTCTCCCGCACTGCCAGCCCGGTTCCTGAGACACTGTCTTCAGCTTGAGCTGGAGGTGTTTGTCAGAGTGTTCCTGTGAGCGCCGATCGTGGGCTCCGCTGTGGAGGGAGCAGTGATTGTGCTTTCAAAAGGAGCACCTTTGCCTTTAAGACACGGCTTCTGTTGTCCCCTCTCCAGCGTGTTTCCTGCCAGGCGTGCAGCTGCAGAGGGATGTGAAGTGGGATCAATAATTGATGATTTCATCTTTGCGGCAGGGAGAGGGGGAGGAGGTGGAGGGCTCGTGTGTCAGGGGGCTGTTCTCTGCCCTTTTTCTCCTCTTCCCTCTCTCTTCTCAGATCTCTTCACAGGCCCATAACAGAACGGCTTGTACCCATCAGCCTCGCGGGATTACTGCTACTCCTTCCGTGTTGTCGGGAAGGCCTCCTGTCTCTCTCTCTCAGACTTGTCACAACGTTTTGTGTTTCATGCGGTTAAACTCCTGGCTCTCTCTCTTATCTGAAAGGAATGGGTGAGCTGGGGTACTGCTAGACCCTCTGGCTCGACTCAAACGATCTCCTCCTCGAGTCGTCCTGTCATGCTCTGGGCCAGTCCGGTCAGGACACCTACTCCCTTGGGATGAGGATGCTGGAGAAGTGTGTTACATTGTAAAGGTCCCATTCTGGCAGAAATTTGAGATAGATATAGATTGGACTTGTTTCCCAAACCTGAAAAGAACAACATGAGCTCTAAATATCCATCCATTCTCTAACCTCTCCATCGTAGTCAGGGTCTCGGGTAGCTGGAGCCTATCCCAGTAAGCAATGGATTGAAGGCAGGTTAAACCCTGGACAGGACATCAGTCCTTCACAGGGCATACACGTACACACACACACACACACACACACACACCAGAGCACATTTTCCCAGACGCCAAGTAATTCACCAATATGTACTATATTGGAAAATATTGTATATATGGTACATATATTGGGATTGTTGGTTTATGGGAGGAAACTGGAGCAGCTGGAGGAAACCCATTCAAGCACAAGGAGAACATACTAACTCCACACAGACAGTGCCCCAGGTCTGTAATTGAACCCAGGGCCCCAGCTCTGCGAGGCAGCAATGCTAACTGCTAACCACCTCACATGCCCTCAGTCTGCCCTGTCAAATCGGGGATTCATGCTCAGGGTGCATGGCTGGCAGCCCACAGCAGTGTGCCAGTGTGCAGCAGGCAGACCTGCAGGCCGAGCTGGAGAGCAGGCTTTGGACTTCGAGCAGCTGTGGGCTCATGTAAGCCTGCTTCCTGGATCGGAAGTGTCGGTAAATATGAAAACTAAACTGGACAAAACAGCAGGCGGGTATGATCCATTCCTGGGAGAATCGATCATGGAAAAGGGCCATGAACAGGGACATGCGTAAAAGTCCAGAAGAACTGTACAAAAACTTACCCTGAGAAGAAATCGTGTGTTAAATAGATTTGAACACTCTCTCTGTAGGTGATCAATTTATGGTGAACAGAAAGCGGGAGGAATAACTGAATCACAGTCAAAGTGTTTTATTCCTTCTGCAGGTTACATTACGCTGGTAATTCCTGCAAGCACACCTGAATGAAGGCAGTCCCAAAACCTGATACAGGGAGATGCCAGTTACATATCCCATTCATTATTTTAGGAGTCTAAACCAGGACCAAGCTCATGGATTTCGGTTTTGACGCAGAGCTCAGCGGGAGCAGCAGACACAGGCGTCCCCCTAGCACTGGGGGTGGGGGAGCCCTGCTCTTGTAGTTCGCCCACGGTCAGCTCAAGTCTGGGCTCGTGTCCTTGGCCGACTCTGAGCACAGCAAGCGGGGCAAACTGGGGTAGTTGAGCTCGCTCTCTCCACAGCAGTGACGCCTGTGACCCGTGGGACACCTGTGAAGTTGTGGTACAGTTGGCAGGAGCCACATGACTTCTAATCTGTGCCACCTCCCCTGTGGGTACAGTGGGTCTTACAGCCTGAATGCCAGATGATGGTGTCATCTTTATATGTCCACGCCAGTGCTGGTCAGCACAGCTCTATCCATTGACTAACAGTCGCAGGTTAAACACTGGGGGTTATTTGCAGATGGGATACTGTAAATTAAGAGAATCCCCCATAATACTGAGAGCCGGTGACAAGTTGCTGTGAAATGATTCAGAGATTTTGCTTGTTACTGCACAAGCATTTTTGGAGAGGCTGTACAGAATCACATCTCTCCTATCGTCGCGCGCACTGCCCTGCTCGACAGTCAGTCTAGTGCCAGAGTCAGCAGAGTGGGCCGAATTGCGTCTGTAGTAAGGCAGGGCAGGGAGTTTACAACAGGCCATATGATGGCTTTCATTTACACATCTGCCTACAGTGATATGACTTTATCAGTTTCTAATACTAATCAAAGCTTTTATTGATCAAGGTTGAGAAATAAATCTGTTGTGGTTGTATCTGTGGCTGCTGAGATGTATTACTGATGGTGAGAAACCTCATGATGAGAAATTATGTAGCAATTTCATTTTGTTTCACTTGAGCACCACCCAGCAATGGCAAAAACATTTTTTATCTCATTCTACATTCAGAGGAGAAAAAAGACTGATGCTGGTTACAGTTTTTGTAAAGAATTGTGGAAAAATAATTACGAACATTTCACATCTTGTCCTAAAAAGAGAGTTTTGCTTTAGTAAAAAAACAGGCTTATTTTCGTATAGATTTGTATAGATAGCCGCGTTTTATTGGAATGGAACACGATACGGTTCTCAGATTAGCTGCATATCAATGGATTAAATCAGAACCTGGCAGATGTTTTTTTCTAAGCATCTATCAATGACAACTTTTTAAAGACAAACAGAACCATATTCATTTCCTCTGCATTCCAGTGCTACGCAGCGCTGTCTTAATGATAAAAGCCCGTGCCAACCTGCGTAAAATAATGCCCTGCCAAGGAAGCGTTAATGTGTTTTTGTGCTGGGTTTGCACTAATAGATATTCCTGGACTCTGGCAACCAATGGGGAGAGAGGGAGAGAGAGGGAGAGAGAGGGAGGGGGAGAGGGAGGAGGAGAGGGAGGGGGAGGAGGGCAGACAGTGAGCAGAGCGAGAGAGACAGAGGTGTTCAGTGGAATAGTGTCATAGACTCTGCATTAACTGAAGAGAGCAGTGTGGATGTCTGGCAATGAAGTGACTCCAGCTGACTGAAGAGGCTCAGGCATCAGAACAAAGGAGAGGTAGACCGAGACGGAGAGACAGCCCAGGACAGCGCCGGCCAGCCCCCTCTGCCCCTTTTCTGCCTCCTGGGCTCGACCACAATGGAGACTGGCAGCCCGCGCAAGATCCAGTTCACTATGCCCCTGCTGGACTCCCATCTGGACCCAGAGGCTGCTGAGCAGGTGAGGGCGGGGGAGTCTGGCGTACTATAGCGAAAGACAGTGTGGAGCTGCTGATGTATTATAGGCATGTTAATTAGCTGTTTCACTCTCATTCATGAAAGTGTAATAGAATGGTAGCTTCAAATACTGACAGATTTCCATCTTGCATTGGATCTACTTCTTGCAACTAGTTTGTTTTAGCTACAATTCCCCCACATTTTGATGTTGATGAGACTGGGACATTGCTTCCCATTTTAGTACAGTAAACAGATACTGATTGCACATGGACAGCCTGCGTTAAGATTCAGGAAGGATCCTCTGGTTCTGTGTTCAGCAGCAGTGAAAAGAGGGTTTGTTTAGGGAGAAAGAAAAGATCTTGAAGTCTCCTGGTTACTGCAGGGCACAGTACGAGTAGCCCTGCCAGGTTACACCACCCAGAAATGTCGAGGGAGATTGGTATATCTTCAGTCTGTTGTGTCTCTGTTATTGGGTACATAGATATTATTTCAGGACGCACATAATATTTGTTAAAAATTGTACAAAGACTACTGTATGTACAACCACGGTGAGATCCTTACTCACAAGCACACAGGAGCTACCTACAGTATACTATTCCCTGTTTAGGATTAAGACTTGCAGCTCTGATGCTTGAAAATTCAGTGTCTGCAGAGGGTCCAGAGAGAGCTGTTATGATACTTGTTGTAGCCACTGTGCCATGGGAAGAAGGATGACCAGGATATAGCTCATAAGAATGTCTGAAGGCTTGAAGTGGACGGCTAGTAATTGCTCTGCAGTGTTTGAAAGGAGTTGGATTAAAAAAAGCCAGGGTCAAACAAATCAAACCTCAGTCTCGATTCTTTCTTCTGCGGGTCCCATCTCTGTCCCTCTGTGGGGCAGTGGAGATCAGAGTGGAAGTGTGTCTAGAGATTCTGCGTCTTGTGTCCTAGAGATCCCACTCATTCAGCAGCACAATGAGAATATGTCTTGAGCTATCGCTCACACAATTATTAACCCTTCAAAACTGCAGCTAGATTGCAGCGACAGAGAAAAACAGAGACGTGCCAGCTGTGTTTTTACAGGGGGTAGCAAAACCTAATCTTTTGAACCAGGAGAGGAAAGCATTTATCAGCAGACACTTAGAATACCACTGCCTACTGCACTGCCACAGCTCAGCTGGCCAAATTCATATCTGCTGCACACTTTGGAAGAGGGAGGGTAGTTCATGCTCGCAGTAGTACCGAGTTAAAGGACTGGGTATAGGAAGGCTTGGCAGGATGTGTGCTTTTCACATAATACCATAATAAAATACAGTCCTCTTAGTCTAAGGCGGTTGGGCTTAATTGAACCAGTAGAACAGGTCGAAGAAGTGTGTTCTGCCCTTAAAAAACGAGTATCACCGCTGTCTAACAGACTTGCAAATCAGGTACATTTAAG